TAGAGAAGGTCACTAAGGCAAGAATATAAAGCAAGTTTATTTAAAAAGCGTTAACATAGACTTCTCCTGGGAGGGAGAAGGGGGCCATAGCTGGTATCCTGGTATCCCCAGAAATGAGGTGTTCTGCCCTTTTATATGTCCTAACCTTTCTTTGTTCTGAACTTATCTCTCTCCTTCCTGCATACATGAAGGCCTAGAAAATACTCAGTGGGATGACCAAAAGTTCGGAAACAGGTACGCTGAAGGCAGAAGGGCAGGATGGTGCATCCAACAACACATTAACAACCTTATAGCTTCCTGTAGGGAGGGGCCAATCCTGGGACAAGTTACCTTAGCAACAGGTTGGAGCAGGGGCAGGTTCTTGATAAGGGTGGAGGAAGGGCTCTGAAGAAATTAACATTTCAGTCCCTCAAGGGACAGTCTCCCACTTCGGGGGATTCACTCAAAATTGGCATCCTTGATTAGACCTAATTCACTTTAACCATTTATGCTGACTGCCCATCTAATTCTGGTTTCATTCCCCCCTCTATTTTAGGAACTCTTATTGCTGTAAGGAGAATGGGCAATTACTGCTCTGGCTGCTTCAAAGCTGAGAGGGGACAATATGAGGCGGGGCAAGCAACTTTGGAGTTCCCTTTTAGAAATCAGGGTCAGTCCAGTTGTGGAAGAATGGGTTGTAAAGTCATTTGGGGATGGGTGCATCTATGAGAGAGAAACAAAAATATGAGTACTAAATAAAGGCTGCAGCATTTGGGACATGTCAATGTATACCATGCAGATAATAGCAGTCAATAATCTCTTACCAGGAGGTGTGAGGGCTGAGAAGTTGTTTCCATAATAAGGCCAGAGTATTTGCCAACTTTCTAAAGAACACTCAGAATTCATTAGTATGAAGTAATTGTGGGAGGGCTAAAGGCAATTGCCACCAGAAGAACTGGTTTAAACTCACCGAATCCTACTCAAACTGTGTATTTTCTTCACAAGACACTGACCACCAAGGACATTTCTAGCACAAGGCTCAGCAACAATTTCCAACCAGCAGGATCCAAAGAAATCCCTCTTTCTAAGTGTTGTGTTAGGGATATTTGAACCCCAACCTGCTGGAAAGGGGCCAAGGCTGTAGAGCAGGAGACTTGATAAGAACTTCTAGGGAAACATAAACCAGGGTGAACTTTTCATTTGAGAACTTACTATTTTTAAGTGCTATTTATTTTTTTACTCATGCATCCATGCACCCTATTGTTCATGGATTTCATAACATTCCATGTCCTGGACAGTACTAGGTAACAGTGACACAGAGATGATATGAACAGCCTTTGCCCTTGGCCCTTGTGATGCTCTCAGTCCATCAAGGGACATGGAGGCACAAACATTGGAGAAAAATGAGGAGACTATGTAGCCACATCAGAGGAGCACCCAGGAGGGAGTCCCTGACGGGGGACCCATTGAGACAGGTGACCCAAAGCTGGGGTCATAAGCACAGGACACAGGAGCCCACCAGGAGAGCAGGATGAGAAAATATTCATATGGACATACACAGATTAAAGCACTTCTTGAAGCTCTGATGTCTTTATCTAGTAAGACAGAAGAAGGCATGGATGTGACATTCTTGATGTCATCCCTACTGGTGCTCCTGAGAGGATTAGGGAGCAAGTGGCAAGAACAACAGCTGACACTTGCATAGCACTGAAGGAGCTCACCCTCTGGTGGGGCCAATTCCCAGCCGTGGTGGGTGGATTTCAGGAGATTCCTTCCTGCTGAGACTCATTCTTCCAGGAGCTTGGAGTATGCCTTTAGCATCCAAGGGCCAGAATTAGAAGGAAGCCCACAGCCAAGGAATAAAGCAAAGTTTAGCAGTGGAAGTGGTTTGGTGAATCACCGACCACAGGCCATGAAGATGAAGCAGCAGCCAAGGACACCGACTTGAGATGAACTTGTTGAAGGCAAGTCCACCTCCCGTCTCAGTTAGCAAAATGCTTTCAACTGCTGGACTCAAGTCTTGGGGCTCCATTTCCTCATTCAGCACTTCAGACTTCACTCCCATCTGTTATCTGTATTCAGGTTTCCTTCTTTCTTTTTAAATACATATTTCTACTGCTGAGGGACTGAGACTAAATCTAATATCATGGACCATCTTAGATTCTTCCATAAGCCACCCAATCATGCCTTCTCTGAATTTTCTAATTGGCCAAGAACAAGTATCCAAGGTTAACTTGAAGATGGAAGGCGTACATTCACAAATCAGGTTTTCTCTTTGTGCTTTTTTTATGTCGAATGAGATTGTTAAGCAAGGATCTGGTCTGCAAATGTTTAAAGAGCATGAGTGAGCATTTGTTTTACACTTAAGGACCAAGAAATTCATTTCAAAGCCCTCTGCAAGAGAGAAATTTTTTTGAAGTTCTTGATTCTTGCTGGAAAAAAATCATGAACAGTTTTGCATTTTATTCCATAATATAGCTGGATTTGTTTTAATAGAAACAAGGACACTAGCTTGAAATGAGTTTCTCCTCTGCAAATTTTTGACTCAAATGGATTCTTCTAACCAATATCCCAGCTCACCCTGTGCTTTCCTGAACCCTTGTCACTCAGCAGAGAACCAACAGGTGCATGCAGGTGAGATTCAGAGACTTACATACCTTGTCCATCTCTGACCCACATCTTACAGGCCTTCACTGAGTCTCAAAGAACAAAGCTATGAAGTCACATCCAAATTTGATAATGAGTATTATGAAGATGACAATGAAAAATAATGATTTTTACATTTGTATGTGCCAAAAAGAAAACAACACAGCTCCTTCATCCCAATCAACTAGTATACTGTGGATCTGCAAATTAACACTCTATGACTAGAAATTTGCTTTAAATATGAAACATGATCCTATCATTTACTAATCACTGAGCAAGTCTATTATCAACTGCTTTGGGAAAGCATGCTTCCTTTAATAGCTATTGGCAACCAAGTATATTGTTATAGTTTCTTCTATGGAACTACTTAGTGTAGTATGTATATATCTGCCCAATTTTTGGAATTTCCACATATGCCCAAACTGGGATGTCCAGTTCTCTTAATGCTCATGTCAGTGACAGTTATAGCTATTAGGAATTTCTGATTTCCTTTTATTTTCTCTTCTCTCTTGTCACCCCCACCCACTCCCCCACCAGTGCTGAGAATCAAGCCCAAGGCTAAGCAAGCATTGTGGCACAGTATTCCCACCTGCAAGCCCAGAAATTCTAATTTTCTTTTCTTTTTTTTTTTAATACTTTATTTTCAGTTGTAGATGGACACAATCTCTTTATTTTATGTGGTGTTGAGGATTGAACCCAGGGCCTCGCACATGCTAGGTGAGTGCTCTACTACTGAGCCACAACCCCAGCCCCCAGAAATTCTAATTTTCTAAACCTGCAGTGCTGAGATCAAGAATGAGAGCAGCAGTTAATGGAAACTTCTGTTATCTGTGAGAGGATTTATTTGCCTAGTTTTCCATTATTTTTTTAACCTTCTGGAAGTTTATTTTGTTATAAAAGGTCATTTGCACAAGATCTTTATTTTTTCCCTTAGAATATGTTAATTGGGAAAAAAGAGTATATAACATGATACAAATCCTTGTCATATAAACAAATATTGAGAGATGATTCAAGAACCCTGTATAGAATTTTATGATCATAAGCTCCTTTTCTGGGATGTTGCTTATCTTTGAGAATTAAAACTGGTTCAATTGAACAATGTAATATGTCATATAATATATAATATCAACTAATATTGAATGCAGCCACTGTATCTGTACTGACACAAGCTTAGTTCATTTCTAGGGGTTTTTTTCCACTAAGTACTCTGAAAGCCTAAAATCTTTAAAGGCTGGAAACATGGGCATTATTCATTCATCAAACACTGGAATGCTGGGCACACCTTCTACTGCATAAGCAGCCCCAGCAAAAGTAAATATTTTCAATTTGGTTATGTGTGTGTTTTATTTAAACTTTTTTAAAAACTTTATTACAAAAATCCTCCTGAGGATAACAAAACTACGCAATTGTCCTCCCAAGGCGTGCACAACCAGGTAGCTGATGATTGAATTAAACAACCTTTTCTCACTTGCTTATCATGGAAGCAAATGTTCTACCACTTCCACTTCCAGGCCTCTGCACTCAGACATTTCCTCCCCACCCTGGAAAAACCTAGCTAGTCACCTTTGCTTCCTCCACCTCATTCTTTGACTGAAGTGCCCTCTGGTTTTTAGCAAATTCACTGGCCTCTGATTCAAATGCCTCAATGGAAGTTTTATCATGTTACTCTCAGGCAACATCTACAGATAAATTAAATTATAGGACTTCACAAAAAGTGATAATAATACACCTGAATATACCTTATCTTTAAAAAAACATGTTTTTTAATGTGGTGATTGAACCAGTGCCTTAACACATGCTAGGCTCACTGTACACTGAGCTACAACCACATCCCCAATAATATCCCTTATCTTAAACGCTTGGTACCAGAAGCATTTCAGATTTGGGGTTTGTTTCAATTTGTTATACAAAATGAGAGCTTGGAGCTGGTATTCAAGTCTAAACAAAAAATTCATGTATGTTTGTTTCATATATACCTTATATGCATGGCCTAAAAATAATTTTATAAAATACTTTTAATGAGTCTTTATAGTGGCTGCAACTCATCACGGGAGGCCAGGGGTGGAATTTTCCACTTGTGACATCAGGTCAGTGTTCAGGCACTCCTCCTGTTTACTGTAAATGCTGAGTAAGTTACTTCTTCCACTTCTCACTTTCTCCATGAAAGGACTTGGAGATTGTTAGCTCGGATATTCATGTTATAGATTGTTGAGGACAACTTCCTTATCTGAAAGACCACAACATAATGACCTAAAGAAAATTAAGTGACTTGTCAAGATGATATCAGTTCATTTTACCACCTCGATCTTCTCCTACTCATAACAAAAGAACTGCAGTTTACTTCATGGAATCATGAGCTAGGCACTACACTTAGATGATTGCATGTATTATTTTATTTGAGCATGACAACACTATTTCAAGGTAGATTGTCCTTCCACTTACTTTAGAGATAGGGAAATAAAATATCTGGGAGAGAGGTTGAGAAAACATAGGTACTCACATCACATACAAACACAGATTTGAACACCAGCTGAATCTGGAACCCATGCTTCAAATCACTACTGATCTTGCTGCCTTTTTGGTAACTGTGTATGGAGATATACAGGTAAAGGTATATAGATATACTGTACCTAGTATAATCAAAAGTCAATAAGCAAGATATACATTATTTTTGCAGGTTTTCAAACTGTAACAAAATTGCATTTCAACTGAAGGGTGGACAGGGGAAACAAGAGCAGGACATCCAGTTTCTTCTTTCTTCTACCTTCTATACCACAGAAATCACAAAAGCTAAATGCTGCATTTCCCAGACTCCTTTGCAACCTAACTCCTGGAGGTGTTTTGATTCTGTCAATCAAATGTGGCAGAACTGGAGCAGAGGCCAGGCATCTGTTTTTTCTGATGCCACACTGGTTGTGAAGACATGTGGTTTCTTTGCTGCACCATTAACAGAGGTTCTGGGCTGTAGTCACTGGCTTGGTAAGGTTGAGAGCAGGGCCTGTGGCATCCACTCTGAGGGTACAGATGCTTACAGGCACAGTGTGATTCCAGAGCCAGCAGTAGAGCTGTGGCTATTGTGGTGAGATACTGATTATGGTGGTTTCCTAGCCTCACTTGATGGCTTCCTAGTTGTGATAGAGTGGTATGGCGATGATGTCAGCAGTATTTTGATCAAGAATGGGACACTTCCCCTAGTGACTCATGCAGGTTTGGATAGCTTCCTGGAGTAAAGCAAGAAGATATTGAATTCCAGGCCCTGCCAAAAGGAGGGACCGGGATAAATTCCCTGCCCTTTGGGGAGTGATCCTGAAGGACTGGACCCTCAGAGGAAGGGTGACCTGGAGGAAACCATCTTCAGACCCACTGCAGCCCAGCCTCAAGGCTTCTGCATGGCCCCAAATATCTTAACTCCTAAAATGGAAATAAGCAATTCTGGACTTACGGTTACCAAGTTAATGAAAGTACTTCTGGAGGAAGGAAATATCCTAAACTTCAAATTTTTTGAATGGCAACTTTTGAAACAGCATATCCCACATGTTGTCTATGATAATCAGGCAGATATGACAAAGAGAATGAGAAACAGCAGAACCTACAATAGAAACAGAAAATAATCAGAAGTTATAGCTCAAAATTCTAAAAGAAGTCTAGTGCATGTCAAATGTATGATTCAAAACATTCCAATAACAACATTAAGAAGGTAAAAATAATTTATAAATAATTTCCTTTAACTCAATGTATTTCAACTGATATTTTTTGCTTAATCCTGATGATTTCAACACGTACTCACCACAGGCCACATCTCCACTTCCTCTCAGAGCCCAAGCCATCCTCTTCCCACCAAGGGCTGCCAACAAATGATGAATCCAGCATCTGTGAAAAAATAGGCATTATTTGCAGTGCACTTGGACTCAGCCATGGAACATTAATGACAGGGACACTCCATGTTACAACCAGGAAGATGCATCTTTTAGAGACCAAAACAATTTAAGGAATCATTGTTACAAAATAAGAGAAGGGAAAGGAAGAGTTCAAATAGTACTTGGTAAGAACTTTCTACAAGCTGAAATCATACAGAAGGCGAAGTATATTCCTTTGAGATAAGAATTACTGATATAAAAAGATATGAAATATTATGACAGTAACAAAAATGGATAGCATCCTTTGAAAGGAGCAATTTTTTAATAATGTGGAAGAAAAAAATGTCTTATGGATAAAAAATCAGAAAACAAGGGAAAAAAAGCTACTATCAGTTTTTTTCAAGGTCAAATTCAATATTCGGCACAAGCCTTACAAAGCAAAATACTCTCATGAGAAATGCACGTTGTTGGCTTCTCATTTTATCTTCAACCACCATTTTTAAAGATAAATAAATATTAATTCACTCTATTTTTAATTCTCATCCAGTAGTGCAGGAGTCAGAGGCTTCAATGTGTTCATCATCATTGCTGGTGTTGCTTGTTTGTCAGTTTGTTGGGGAGGAGGGATCTTAGATAAAATGCTTTGCAAAGGGAGATCTGAAATATAACACAGTGAATCTCCACATCTGTACAACCACAAGTCTGGGATCCTAATTAGAGTAAGATGTACTCCATATTTGTATAAATATGCCAAACCACACTCTACTGATATGCATAACTAAAAAACACAAATGAAGTAAAATAAATAAATAAGAAGAAGATTTGAAGTAAGTTTGTTTCTAGTAGGACCTGTCTGCTGTTGCTAGGTCATGAAATATTCTCCAGCCAGAGCTGGAGGTGACTTATGCCTTTTCTAGGCAGAGAACCACTCACATGGCAGTAAACATCCAGGCATCCCAGGAGGTGGCTCTAGTAATAATTTTCTTGCTCTTTTGTACCCTTAAAGGTTCAATTCTCCTGACTTTTTACTTTTTCCTGGTGCCATTCTGTATGTTAAATCCAAAATTGATGATTTCTTTTCAACGACAAAAATGTTACTATACTTCACACAGCCTAAGTCTGATCTTTAAAAATATTTATATCTACTTACAATATATTCATCTTTGTCATAAAATATCTCATAATATCTGTGTTTGAGCCTATGATTAACATGTGCTTCCAATGACTGAAAAGGGTTGTATATTTTATTAAAATATCTATCATTATTACAATACATCTAAGATAACATGGACTAGTTTTATAAAATCTAGAAAATCCTGGAGGTGAAAGTGAACTATTGTTCCAGCATTCATTTTTGTCTAAAACTAAAGAGTGTTTACTGAAAAAAAAAATAGAATTTTTTCCCTTCCACAAACCTGAACATAGTGCCACCTGGAAATATGATTTTCAGAATTTACAGGTTGGTAAGATGACTCATAGCAGAAGTCATACTATACATCTCTTTTTATGTCTGTAGCTTGGTAATATGCTGTATAAATTAGACAAATGCCCACATTTTTCTAACATGCTTCCCAAGATAAGGGACTTTAAATTCAAAAAGAAGTGTTGTTCTAAATTACCTCAATGAACTTGATTTTTATAAAAGTGAGGGGAAGATGAGACTAGTAGCAGCTGAATAAAACAAAAGCAATGAATTTGTCGTATCTACCAGTGCACCTAAGAAGAAGCAGGGAAAGGAATTAAACCTCCCCACCTCCAAGAGACCATTACTGGCAGCCAAGTAGACTGTAAAACTCAGCAGATGTGACAAACCAGCACAGCCTTCTGGCTCCCTTCCCACATGGCCCTGAGAAACAAGTAAGAAGCAAGCACAGCAACAGACTCCTGGACAGCCACCCTGGTTACATGAGGACAAAGGAATGTTATTTCTAAAGCACTGAAGAAAAGAATTTTATATCCAAGCAAATTCTCATTTAAATGGCAAGGGGTTGGTATTCATTTTCTATCACGGTCATGACAAATTACCCCAAACCTAGCTGCTTAAATCAACACATTTATTGCCTTACAGTTCTATAGGTCAGAAATCTGAGTTGGCTCAACTGATGTCTCCACTTTGGATTTCACAAAGTCAAAATCAAGATGTTGAACAGCTGAACTCTTATGCAGAAGCTTTGAAAACAATGTGCTTCCAAGGGCATTCAGATTGTTGGCAGAATCCACTCCCTTGCTGGCTGTGAGCAGGGCACTCCTTAACTTTAAGAGGCCTATCTCTGGTCCACACATTTCAAATCCAGCAACAGCATATCTAATTCTTCTCTTGCTTAGAGTAACTTTTCCTTCTGCTTTATCCTTCTTGTCTCTATCCTGAGAAAGTCCTCTGATTTTAAGGGCTCATCTGATGACACTGGACCCACTCAGGTAACCTGGAAAGATCTTTTTATTTGGGCTTCAACTGATTGATAATTTTAACTACAAAACCCTTCAGAGCAGGGTTAGATTAGTGTTTGAATAGCCAAGGGACAGGAACTTGAGAAGAGAGCTTTAGAATTTGTCTGCAAAGTGTGCTAAGAATATTTTGAAATAGAAAGCCTAAAGAATATTTTCCTCTTAAAGACCCAAGTTGGCAATAAAGGAAGGGGAGGGAGAGACAGGGAGGTGGGAGGACATAGGGAACAAGATCTACCAAATCATGCTATGTCCATGTATGAGCAGACCACAATTGATCCCGCTTATATAATATTTTAATTAAGATGATAACAATAACATTAGGGAGATTAGTTGAGTAAAGCAAGTGGATCAGGAAAAGGAGCAGAGGAGGGATAGGGAAAGGGCTGGGGAAGGAAATTGTTCAAATAACGTTTTGTGCATATACAAATGTGTCATGGTGAATCGCACTATTATGTATAATTATAATGCACCAATACTTTTTTTATAAGATCCAAGTTGAAAGTACTTTTTTTGCAGAAAGCACCCCAACTATAATGGGGGGGGGGAAGAAGACAAGAGAGCCAATGTGTTCAATTACTGGAGTAATGTGTTAAAGATTATGACTGTGGAAAAACAAAGGGGAGGAAGGAAAAACTGAAAACAGAAAATAAGAAGTATACTTATAAATAACCCAGATACATAATTAAGAGCCAGTCTCAGGGCAATAGGGCTGAAGGTAGCACACAGAGGAGATGTGAAAATATGCCAGATATTTTTTATTAGGGACAAAGCAAAATTAATGACAAATGCAAATAAACATTAGCATTTGTCATAAGTGAAGGGTAACTAATATGACAAGAAAAACAGAATGTGTAACTCATGAACCAGCAGAAGAAAATTCAGTATAGTAGCCAGAATACAAAAACAGAGAAAGAAAGAAATCCCCCAAATGCACAACAAATGAAAAATATGATGACAAAGTCCAAATAGTTAAGAGAAAGTCCAAATATGCAACCCACCTAAATCACTAACCTCAGCAATGAAAGACCTGAAATGCTCAGGTTGAATTTTTGAAAATTCTAACAATGTGCATTGTTTTACCAGATACCCTGAACAGGAAAAGAAAAAAATTAAAAATTTTAAAAGAAGTGTATCAGTCAAGACAGGCTAGGTTTGACTGGAGAAGTAAACACCAAAATTTCAGAGGCTGAAAACATTTATTATACACTTAAAATGGTTGTAATCATAATTTTGTTATATTTTTATCGCAAATCTTTTAAATTATTTTTAAAAGAATGTTTACTTATGCTATATGTTCAACTTGGGGTAGCAAGAAGGCTCTGCACATTAAAATAAAGGACAACAATTAGAACTTTGTTTTTTTATTAGTTGCTCAAAACGTTACAATGATCTTGACATATCATATATCATACATTTGATTCAAATGGGGTATGTACAGATTGCAGGATCACATTGGTTATACATCCACATTTATACATACTGCCATATAGTGTTTGTTGTATTCTGCTGCCTTTCCTATTCCCTTCCTATCCCCCCTCCCCTCCCCTCCCATCATCTCTCTCTACCCCATCAACTGTAACTCATTTCTCTCTTTTTTCCCCCTTTCCCCTCACATCCTCTTATATGTAATTTTGTATAACAATGAGGGTCTCCTCCCATCTTCCGTGCAATTCCCCTTCTCTTTCCCATTCCCTCCCACCTCTCGTCCCTGCTTAATGGTAATCTTCTTCTCATGCTCTTCCTCCCTGCTCTGTTTTGAGTCACCCTCCTTATATCAAAGAAGACATTTGGCATTTGGTTTTTAGGGATTGGATAATTCACTTAGCATAATCTGCTCTAGTGCCATCCATTTCCCTGCAAATGCCATGATCATGTTATTTTTTAGTGCTGAGTAATATTCCATTGTGTATAAATGCCACATTTTTTTTTATTCATTCATCTATTGACGGGCATCTAGGTTGGTTCCACAGTCTAGCTATTGTGAATTGTGCTGCTATGAACATTGATGTACCTGTATCCCTGTAGTATGCTCTTTTTAGATCTTTGGGGAATAGTCAGAGAAGGGGAATAGCTAGGGCGAATGATGGTTCCATTCCCAGCTTTCCAAGGAATCTCCATACTGCTTTCCAAATTGGCCGCCCTAGTTTGCAGTCCCATCAGCAATGTACAAGTGTACCCTTTTCCCCGCATCTCTGCCAGCACTTTTTGTTGTTTGACTTCATAATGGCTGCCATTCTTACTGGAGTGAGATGGTATCTTATAGTGGTTTTAATTTGCATTTCTCTGACTGCTAGAGATGGTGAACATTTTTTTGTGTATTTGTTGATTGATTGTATATCCTTCTCTGAGAAGTGTCTGTTCAGATCCTTGGCCCATTTGTTGATTGGGTTATTTGTTTTCTTATTGTTTAATTTTTTGAGTTCTTTGTATACTCTGGAGATTAGGGCTCTATCTGAAGTGTGAGGGGTAAAAATTTGTTCCCAGGATGTAGGCTCCCTATTTACCTCTCTTATTTTTCCTCTTGCTGAGAAAAAAAAACTTTTTAGTTTGAGTACATCCCATTTGTTGATTCTTGATTTTAACTCTTCCCGAAAAAGAGTTAAGTCCCTCATAGTTGTTCACGTGCTGCTGGCACAACCCATGTCTCCCCCTGCCCCCGCAATATTAAATATTTCTATGTTTAAACAGGAGATTTGAAACCACAATTGAAAGTATAATTGTTGGAACTGCTGATTCTTGGAATCATAAAGGCTAAAATGCAAGACAAAGGAAGGTGGAGGAATGTGTGAGGAGGACGGAGGAAGGTGTTCATGTGAGAGATGCATGAGGAGTTTTTGTGTTTATGTTAAAGCAGAGAATCCACTTAGCTGCCCACACCTGTTCTCACTGGTTGGCACAAGGGGCATGTAAAATATGAGAGGACAGGTAAATACCATAAGGTGGGGTCTGGAAGACTTGGAAGCCTATGGGTGACAAGGGTGTGTCAGGAATTCGGATGAAGGGGGAAGTTTCTCCTGGCTCCCAGGCCAAGAAGAGAATGCCACAACACAGTAGCCCCCGTGTGGAGAGTGGCTCTCTCATCCTGGGCCAGACCATGCTTCAGGAATAGAGGGGAAATGGGAGAACACGGGAGGATGGGCTGTTTCTGGAAGGTCTCAAGGGAGGATCACGGGAACAAAAACAAACTGGGAAAAGCTCCTGACCCCTTCCGAGAAAATTCAGAGCTGACAGGGACCAAAGGACAGAAAAGGAGTTGGCAGCATATCTGAGGTGACCTCAGCTCTCCTCACTCTGAGTGTGCATGTTGGAGCGAGTGTGTCAGGCATGCACCCTGTGGACCTGCATGTACCACTGAGGTGCAGAGAGCTTGTTTCTCTCACAGATTTTCTCCCAGGCTCACAACTGCCCTGGGATCTCCCAGACCCCCTCCCTGCCCTGTTTCACCACCACCATCTCTTCCTTCCCAATACCCCATGGTTGAGCCTCCCTTGTCTACCCACCAGCCCCCTCTGTCCTGCCTCCAGGCTCTCTATCTGGCACATTCCTCTGCCTGGAGTATCTGCTTCCCCAGCCAAGAGCCAGTCATCCTTCATGGGTGAGCACAAATATCACCTGCCATTATCTCTTCCTCATCCTCCCAGGATAAATAACCAATTCTCTCCTGTGTTCTCTAGTCCTTGAGTTCACAAAAGAGTGCCTCACATTGTGATGATTGTTTATACATTTCAAGGAATGAGGCCTTTGAGAATATACACATCCCTTTATAGCTTTTGTTTAATCAATTTTTTTAAAGGAACTACTGGGAAAGTATGGCCCTCTGGTTATGTGATAAATCGTATTTCCATGGGAAGCAGGAGCTAAGAGAGGGTTCTTCTTGTGTTTGAGGGTCCCTTTCCCATGCAATCATCTGGAACAATACCTCAATCTACAGCTACATCTGCATCTCCCCTGAGTTCATCACTATGGTCACTACAGCCGTCCTCAAAGGCGTACCCTGGCAGCATTCCTGTCTCAGTCATCATGAGGCCAGCAAGTCATGGGCAGAAGTGAGAGGGAAGTAAGAGCCAGTGGCTTGTGGCAGCTGTGGAGAGCAACCTGGGCTGAGACTGGGGAGAGAACCTGAATCCCACTCTGACTCCACCCATTGAGTCTTCTCCCCATTAAATGGACACATGAACAAGATGTTCTACCCTCCACAGCCACCAGTGGGGAGGATAAGCCCCTATTGACCATAAATCACATGATCCTCAGGCTGTGGTAAAGTATAGGACTGCTGAATCATGCACAGAGCCTGACGCTGCTGCTTCAGGGCAGGGGCACAGGATGACTGCAAACAGATTTCCTTAGGTACAAAGAAGCAGAGAAGATTCTTGCCTGATTCATTAACATCTCTACCCAAGAGGACCATGTGGAAGGTGGGCTACAGGACAACAGAAACACAAAGGGTGGGCAGTACACAGACTTAGGAGGAACAGTACTTGGTGGCTCCCATGCATACATCTGGGGACAGGAGCCTTGGGTAATCCCTGGGAGGAGGCAGCTGGGAAGGGCTTGGCACTCCTAACTCTTGAGTCTGGGTGAACCAGGCAGGTAACCTGGAGAACAGAAGGAATAGAAGGCTGCAGTAGAGACATAGGAAGGATGGCCAGGTGAGAAGGAGATGGAGAGCATATCTGGGCACTCCTGCCCCTTGCCTGGTGCAGATAGATTCCTGGCTGCCAAGCTCAAACCAGATCCCAAATGGGGATGAATGAGCTCTAGAGTTGACTGAAAGAGTATGGGTTGTAGATTGTACTTTCAGAAATAGAAGTCATGACATTTTGACTGATGAGTGTTGTACTCTTTTTTTTTTTTTTTTTTAACGTTTTCCTGCATCAATCCCACTTCTGTCAGTTAATGCTCTCTGGTGGAATAAAAGGGGCAAATGACAAGATTATGGAAGTGCCCTGCACTTAGCCAAACTTATGACTCACCAGGGCCCTCTCTTCCTTCTTGTGTTTGAGGGTCCCTTTCCCATACAATCATTTGGGTCAAAACAATACCTCAATCCACAGCTGCATGTGCATCTCCCCTCAGTTCTTCACTATGGTCTCTGCAGTTGTCCTCAAAGGCGTACCCTGGCGGCATCCCTGTCTCAGTCATCATGATTCTACAGGCTCCTGAGGTCGAGGCCATGAGATGGGGCCCTGTGTGTAGTTCCTGTGTCTGAACCTCTGAATGGCAGTGTGAGAGATCTCAGACCAGGACCCACTCATCAAGAAGCCGAAGTCTTCTCAGACTCAGGTGATCGCTTCATTCATGCCTACACTGGCCTGAAATGTGTATTTGAAGCTATTTAAATGGTGTTTAAATGGTGGTTGCGTGATCGGATCTCGAGATAACAATGAAATTGACCAAAGGAAACTTTGAGAGATTAATTATAGCCAGGTGCTGCTGCACATGCCTGTGATTCCAGCTTCTTGGAGGCTGAGGTAGGAGTATTGCAAGTTGGAGGATGGCCTGGATGATTTAGCAACATCCTGTCTCAAAATAACAATTTTTAAATGAGCAGGGGACGCGGCTCAGTAGCAGAGGGCCCCTGCTGGATTCAATCCTCAGGACCTCAAAAGAAAAAGAAAAAGATTGTTTCTGCAAGCCTCCAGGTGGCAGCTGAGCTAGGCATTTTCTTCCTGACTGTCCGAGGACTTTTCCCAAAGGAGAAGGTGCTTTTGCTTTTAGAGAGTCTTTCCTGAAAGTTTTCGGGCCAGGGGCACAGAATCTGCTCAAAACTATCTCCGATGGCAGGCTAGCTAACAACTGCCTTCAACCACGTTGATTTCAGACGGCACTTTATTAGGAGCCCGAAATTTTTTGGTATTTTAATAATAAAAAGGGATGAGTCGGAAGGTGGGGATGCAAATGGTTAAACACTCGGGCCCAAGAAGTCCGGAGAGGAGACAGGAAAAGAAGGAGGCGAGGAAGGCGACACATCAGAATGGTTAAGCAGCGCGGGGATTTGGGGCAGTCAGTGGAAGTCAGCGGCCAGTCCCGGGGCCAGTCAGCGGGGCGGCTGCTGATGTTTTGTAAAAGTCAGATTGTTCTTCTGCTCCGACTTGGGTCGCCACCTGCCCTGGCCGGAGGCCCCAACTTTATCCTCGGCCTTGGGTTCGTCTTCTCCGGTAACCGCCAGGGCGGCGGGACGAGTGCGAAAGGAGGGCGGAAGTCGCGGCGAGGAGGCGGCGGGAGGCGCTGGGGACGCGTCCCGGTCCCGCGCCGTCGCAGGAAGGGGACCCAGGCGGGGTCCTGCACCGGGCGGTGATCCACCAAACTTTCCTCGGTAAGGACACGGTGGCCAGGGGCACCCGAGGGAAAAACCACAACGCGGGGATGCCCAAGGCCAACTTAGTGGCGTGACGCAGAAAGTCGGGGCGGGGCAACAGCCGGAACCAATCAGCAGGAGGAAGGAGGCGGCGGAGCGGATTCCCCGGGGGGCGGGGCGGGGGGTTTCCGGCTTTAAAGCCTCTGAGCGCCGCCGCCGGTCTCCCAGTTCTCCTGAGCGCCGGACCCATGGCCGCATCTGTCCGCGCGGCGCTCCTTCTTGGCGTCCTGGCTCAGCTCCCGCCCCACTTTCTTTGGGCGTCGCCGGCCGGTGAGTTGCGGGATCGAACTTACGGGACACCTCCGTCCCCTTCTCAGTCCCCAGACTTCCCCTGCACGTTCCGTCCCACCGGACCACGTCCCCGCAGCAGGTTATGCACCCTGCGCCTGGGGAGGAGCCCAGGGAGCTGAAAAGAGACGAAAAACTAAGGGTAGGAGGATGTGAGGGAGCGAGATGACAGGGGAGAGCTAGATGGCTTGGTAATGGTCCCCAGTGCCACCCCTGTCTTCAGAAAGCAGGAATCAGAGCCTCTTTCTCCAAGAGCCCAGGAGCAAGAATGAGTCACTGTGAAAGGGTGTGCGTTTTCCCGCTGCGGGTGGCATTTACTGGCTGTGTTGTGCGTTTCCAGTGAGGAATTGCCGTGAACTGCTGCTCCTGGCCCCTCTGCCTAGCACAGATGTCTCTATCACAGGTCCTCCTAAGTCATAATGACAACCCAGTCGCTTCCAAGTTCATGTGATATCTACTTTTTAGAATTTTCTTTTAAAGGTAAAGAAAGGTGGGGGAGGTGCCTCATGAAAAGCAAAGGGAGATCAGTAGAGGAAAGAGACCAGGGGAAGGGAGGAGAGGAGAGAAAGGAAATACTGGGGAATTATATTGGTCAAATTCCGTTGCTATATTGTGCGTCTACGAATGTGACAACAAATGTCACCCGTGATGACAACTATAATACACCAATAAAACTATGAAATGAAATTGAAATTTAAAATATCATCAATGGGCACTCTCTCACTCTCTTTGGTATTTGGAGGCCATATGCTGCAGGCACAGGTTTCTTTGAGCCTAGTTCAGTCACTCTGGTCCAAGCACACTCTGGAGATCATGATGGGCACCTTCTGGGTTCACTTCACCTTCCTTTCTGAGTTCCTGATCTCCAGTCTGCTCACTGCTGCACAGCACCTAGCAGTGGCTCCTATGCTGGCAACCCAGTTCCCACGGAACTATCAGCCTGTGGGCTGAGATGTTTTCATTGCTTTGCAATCAATTGCTTCCCTACCAATTCTGGGTCCATTGAGTTCAGCCTCCCTCTCTGTTCCACAGGTTCTCACAGACATGTATATTTTAATCTGCCGCTGTCCCCCCCCTCCTCCCCTCAGCAACCACAGTTGCTGCTGCCAGCCAAACTGGCACAATTCTAAACATATTATTTCTTTTATTATATTCAAAGTTTCTGACTTTCTATGTCTCTGCAGTTTCTTTTACAGTTCCCCTAGTTACCTACCCATCTCTCTAAGGAGCACTCTTCCCGTGTTTTAAGTCTGCTGCTAAGGAACTATGGGAAATTGTGGCCTTCCTCTATTCTGCCATCCTCTCTCTCAAAATTCTTTCTTCCAGCTTCTTGAGATAAACAGGATGTTACAGTTTTCTATAGTCTCTCTACTGTGCCAGAACACAACAGAAATTTCACTGTTATCTATTAGTTCCCTTCTATCAACATTTTCTCATCCCTCCATCCCTCTTACTGTCCACACCATCTAATTTCAACTTCTGAGATCAACTTTTGTGGATTCCACATGCAAGTGAGATCATTTGGTGCTTATCTTTCTGTGCCTGGCTTACTTCCCTTAACATGATGATCTCCATTTCCATCAATTGTGTTGGAGAGAACATGATTTTGTTCTTTTTATGGATAAATAGTATTCCAGTGTGTGTAGGTACCACATTGTCTTTATCTGTTCATCACTTGATGGACACCTAGGTTGTTTGTTTCTTTGCCTTTGTGAACAGTGCTAAAATGAACATGGGAGTGCAGATCTTTGACAGACTGTTTTTATATACTTTGGCTATTACCCAGTAGAGGAATTCCTGGATCATATGCAAGTTCAATTTTTCAATTTTCGAGGACCTCAATACTGTTTTTCCTAGTATCCCTATTATTACCACCTAGAGGTACTAGTATCATTGACTCCATTCAGCAAAAAATCTAAGAACAAGACACCAAGATAGGAAGTAAGAAGTAGGTTTATTGCAAATGTGAAAAAAGATATAGAGAAGACTTCTCTGAGAAAAAGGACCTCAGACCCGGGAATCTGGTGGGGGAGTTTGGGCCTGTTCTTTTGATGGTCTGTGGAATTCCTCCTTTCCTTATCTGCTCCCCTGTTCATGCTCTCCTCACTATTATTGAATGGTGCCCCCTCTGTCCATGCATCTGTTTTAGTTTTCCTATTGGATCTCTTGCTTGGGAGCACTAATATGGAAGTGTCTGTCTGACTGGGTCTCCTGTTTGTGTCCACAAGCACTTAGGTCAAGCAGGAAGTTGACCTCATCAGAAGACCCTCCCCATGCTCCTTTGTTCTGACCCTGCCCAACCTCCTCACTTGCCATCTTGCCCTGGTTGCCTAAGCTCCCCTATCTCTCCCCCACTATGAATCTACATCCGGCTAACAATATGCAGGATTCTCTTGCAGGCACTTATTTTCTTTTGTATTATTGTTAACAACCATTCTTACTGGAGTGAGATAATATCTTCTTGTGGTTGTGATTTGCATTTCAGTGATGACTGGTGATACTGAGTACTTTTTTGTATGCCTATTGGCCATTTTACTTATCTCTTTTGAGAAATGTCTTTTCAGATTTTTCTCCATTTTCTAATCAGCCTATTTGTTTTCTAAGTTCTTTGAGTTCCATATGCATTCTGGATATCAACCTATTATCTGATGTACAATATGCAAATATTTTCTGACATTCTGTAGGTTCTCTCCACTCCCAAAATTGTTGCCTTTGATGTGTGGAGGATTTTTTAATTTGACTCTTCTATTTGTCTGTTTTTGATTTTGTGTTCTGTGCTTTTAGAGACTTGTCCAAATTCTTTTAGAGACTTTCCCATTCCAATGTCCTGAAACATTTTCACTACATATTCTTGTAGTAGCTTCATAGCTTCAAAACTTACATTTAAGTCTTCAGTTTTTTGGTTTATTTGTTTGTTTTTTCAAGTACTGGGGGTTGATTCCATGGTCTTCTGCATGGTAAACAAGCATTTTACCCCTGAGCTTCACCCCCAGCACATTTAATACACTTTAAGTTGATTTTTCTAAGTGAAGAGCTACAGGGGTCTAGTTTTATTCTTTTTCTTGTAGATTCCCTCCCCTGTTTTTCCAATACCATATATAGAAAATACTGTCATTTTTCTACTGCACATTCTTATCACCTTTTTCAATAACAGGCTGCTGTAGGTGTGTGGGTCAAATTCTATGCTCTCTGTTCTGTTCCATTGGTCCATGCTTCTGTTTGTAACCCAGCACCATGCTGTTTGATTACACCAGCTTGGTTGTGTATTTTGAAGTCAGTTCATGTAACTCCTCTTGCTTTGTTCTTTTCCTGCAAGATAGCTTTGACTCTTCAGCAATTTTGTGGTTCCCTGGAAATTATAGAACTGTCTTTTCTATTTCTGTGAAGAACACCCTGGATGTTTTCATAGGGATTACATTGAATCTGCGGATCTTGTTGGGTGGAATAGACATTTGAACAAAACATGAACATGGTGACCTTCTCCTATGATTTGTGTGTGTGTGTGTGTGTGTGTGTGTGTGTGTGTGTGTAGTTTTTAATTTCTTTCCTCAGTACTTTATAGCTTTCACTGTAGAGATATTTTACCTCTTTGTTTAAATTCATTCCAAGCTATTGTATATTTTGCAGTTACTGTAAATAGTATTGTTTGCTTGATTTCTATTTCAGATTTTTTGCCATTGGTATATAACAACTCTAATAATTTTATTTTTTGTATTCTGCAACTTAGCTAAATTCATCTATCACCACTAATAGTATTTGGTGAAGTCTTTGGAGTTTTCTATATGTAAGGTCAGCTCATCAGCTCATCTACAAACAGTGAGTATTTAATTTCTTTTCTTTTTTTTTTTTGAGTTTAGATACTCTATTCTTTCTCTTGCTTGATTGCTCTACCTAGCACTTCCAAAAGTTCATTAATTAAAAGTGGTAAAAGTGAGCATCCTTCTCTTGTTTCAGATTGGAGAGAGAAAACATTCGGTGCTTACCCATTTATTATGATGTTAGGTGATGGCTTGTTTCATATGTCCTTTATTCTGATAAGATATATTCCTTTTTGCCTAGGTGGTTTGGCATTTTTATTATGAAGAGATATGGATTTTATCAAATGCCTTTTCTTCATCTTCATTCTATTAATGTGGGGTATTACATTTATTGAAGCTAGTGTTGAACCCTGGTTGCATCCCTGAGATGAATACTCTTTTCAGTAGGCAATTGAATTCAGTGTGCTAATACTTTGTTCAGGATTTTTCATCTTTGTTCACCAAGAATATTGGCTGTGTTCTTGTCCGGTTTGGGTATCATGGTAATTCTGGCTTTATCAAATGTATTTGGAAGAATTTCTTTCTCTTCTATTGTTTGGAATAACTTAAGGAGAACTAGAAACTGTTCTTATTTAAATGCTTGGTAGAGCTCAGCAGTACAGCTCTATGATCAGGGGATTTTCTTGATGGGAGGCTATTACAACTGATTCAATCTTGTTACTTCTTATTGGTCTGCTCAGCTTTTTTATTTCTTTTAATTCAATCTTGGTAAGGTATGTATGTGTAAGTGTTCAGGAATTTGTCCACTTCTTTTAGGTTGCCAAATTTTTACAAATAATAACAAACATGGATATCTTTGTTCCTAATAATCTGTAATGAACCTTTTTGTTTCCGTGATATCAGTTGCAAAGTCTTCCTTTTCTTGTGTGAATTTATTTGAGTCTTCTCTCTCCTTTACCTAGTTAGGCTAGCTAAGGGTTTATCACTTCTGTTTATCTCTTGAAGGACCAGCTCCTTATTTCATTCATCTTTTTTGCTGTTTTTTAGCCACTAATTTATTTATTTATGCTATGCTCTGATATTATTTCTCCCTTTTCTCTAATTTTGGTTCTGTTTTGGGGTACTTGATATTTTTTATTAATTTTTTCAAGTTGTAGTTGGACATAACACCTTTATTTTTATGTGGTGCTAAGGATTGAACCCAGTACCTCCCACATATGAGGCAAGCACTCTACCACTGAGCCCAAGCCCCAGCCTAGTACCTGATATTTTCTAATACACTTGATAAACAAAAGTCTGCCAGGTTTTCTTACAAAGCACAGCAGACTAGGCATATTTCTGCCTTTCCTATTACATCTAACCTGGCATAAACACTTTCGGATCCTCTAAAGCAGATAGTTTTGATCCCTCCTCTACTACCGTTCTTTGAACTTATGGATTTTTCCATTTCATTCATGGTAGGATATCCCCTTCTATCCTAAAAGAAGGCAATTCCCTGGCACACAAGTGCTGTCTCTCAACAGTCAAGCTACAAGCTATGAACCATAATTAGAAACTCTCCCTCATGCAGCTGTGATCCCATGATCACTGGGCCCACCATGACTCAGCATACACACTGCCCCCTCCCTGCAGTCCAGGGCACTGCTTCTCCACATCCTCTGCCATGCAGGCCCTTCCCTCACAGCAGGCCTGGCACTGCCCTTGCAAGGTCCTGTGCTGCTGGGTGTAGGCATTGTTCAATGGGCAGTGGGGAAGTGAGCCATGTCCTGGGAATGAGGTTGCTTGCCAAGTAGTGTCCCCATCTGCCTGAAACAAGGAAACATGCCCACCATAAACAGGTGGAGCACACAGCTTGGGAAGAATCATTCTTGCTCTGCCAGCTCAGCCCTTCAGAGGGATGGGGAGAGGGTGCCTAAAGGGTCCTTTCTCACCAGCCCAACCTTACTCGCCCTTTTCCCTCACAGGGACTCACTCCCTTTGCTATGACTTCACCATCAATTCTAAGGCAGCACCTGGACAGCAATGGTGTATGATCCAAGGCCAGGTGGACCACAAGAATTTTCTCTCCTATGACTGTGGCCTGGACAAGATCAAATCCTTGAGTGCCCTGGGAGGGAAAATTAGTGCCACAATCACCTGGGAAGAACAAAAAGCCACACTGAGAGATATGGGGGATATGCTAAAACAGAAACTGGATGACACTAAAGCAGAAAATGACATGGCCAAAGGTAAGTAAGGATGGTCCAGGGACATGAGAGCTGATACTGGGTTTAGTGATATCATTGTGTCCATGAAAAAAAAAATGGGTGTTGGTTGTTCCAAAAAGCCCAGTCAGGGCTGGTTTGGAGAGAGAACACAGCCAGATTAGAAGGAGATCAGGGAAGGTGGGACTGGGTGGGACGAAGGATTTGTTAAGCAAGGAAGCTGATCTCTCTCTGATGGGGGCAGGTCTTCACACTCTGGAGGGCAGGATGTGTTGTAGGCTTAAATCCAGTGGATGCACCAGCGGCTCCTGGCAGTTTGGCTTCAATGGCCGGATGCGGCTTCGCTTTGACTCAGACAACAAAAGGTGGACAGTGGTTCATCCTGGGTCCAACTGGATGAAAGAAAAGTGGGAAGATGACAGAGAAATGACCAAGTTCTTACACAAGACCTCAATGGGTGACTGTAGAACCTGGCTTCAGAACTTGAAGGAATGGGAGGCAGAGCTGGAGCCAACAGGTAACTGGCAGGAGGGGGAGGAAGTGGGAGCTGCTTTCACATGAGATGCTGCTACCTGTGTGTGTGTGTGTGTGTGTGTGTGTGTGTGTGTATGTGAGATGCATAATCCACCTTGACTCAGACCTGGGTTAACAGCCAAAGGTATAGTCTTCCCATCTTTTCCCTTCTCACCTCCAAATGCCTCTTCCTCAGTGCACATGCTTTGGTCTGGCATTTGCTCGTCTCTTTTTGGAAATTCTTGTGAATCACTTCACGTGTCAACTCCTGAGACCCTTCTCCACCACCATCCTCATGGGTCACCTCATATTCTGCCACCAGGAAGGATGATTTTTATTGCCACCCAGGCTTCTCCCTTTATCTATATGAGATTCTTAAGATCAAGACCCTTCTCCTGTCTCCCTTAGTCTTCATGACCTGTCACAGCAGCTGCCACATAGCAGAGGTCTAGGAACTATGTGCCTGCCTGAATGATGTGGGGCAGCAGGAGCTGAGCAGGCATCTCCACAGATTTTGCTCTTAACAAGGGCTAACTGTCTTGTGTTTCCACTTCAGGACCTTCAATCACCAACCCAGACAGAGTCTTCCAGGAGTCCGCAGCCATCGCACTGATTCCCTGGGCCCTGCTCTGGATCCTCACCTACTTTATCCACCTAGGCCTCCAGATCTTCCTGACAGGTGCTGTGGGCATAATGGACAGAGAAACATGGGGCAGCTGTGTGAGAAATGAGGACAGGAAAGTAAATTCCAAGGTCCCAGTCTGCACTTTGACTGGTCCTTCTCATTCTGAGACAGAAGAATCAGGCCTCCTATCACTGGTAGAAATAGCTTGGCCATTCTGAGCCCTGAGTCCTAAGAAATCCTCTCTGTTAGGGTCCATGGGAAAGAGGAGGGGCCATACCAAGGCAGCCTGTAGATTCTAAAGGGTTTTAGCTTATGCAGGCCTGACTCGGACCAGATTTCTACAAAAAAAGGGGCCCAGTGGTATGTGGCGAAGAGATAACAGAAACAGGAAATCAAATATCCCATCCTGGGTGATGGCAGCATGGTAGCTCCATTCATTGTGTACAGAAGAACGAATTCCATACCCACAGTCAAAAAGAGAAATCGTACGGCTAATGCCAGGATAGGGAGCAGAGAAGGCCTTTCTGAAGCTGGAGTTTAGGGATGCCTTCCCACAGGAGGCTCATTTCTGGCAGTTGAAGGGAAAACTAGGAATAGAGTCTGTTCAGGATGAAGGCAGAGGATGCCAGCTCTCTGGGGACTCTTAGGACTCCAGGATTGAACCTTGGGCTGTGGCCCTGGAACCCAGCTTCCTGCAGACTCCAGATCCTGAGCCAGCTCAGCAGCCTCTGCCTTGAGCAGAGCCTCTGCAGAGACTGGTGGGGCTGAGCAGCTGCTGGAGTCTGATGCTCCAGCTGACTTAGCCAGAGTGGAGGGAGTAGGCAGGGCCAGTCACTTTTAGAGCTCTGCTGCTCCCAGGTAAGGAGAGGTTGAGGGGGAAGGGGAAGAAAGATGTGTGTCTATAACCCCACCCAAGTTCTGGGAACCAGATTCCAAGAACCCCTCTTTCAACAGGGTTCTCCCCACCCCCAGGTCCTATGGCCCCTCCTATCTGGAGGAGGAGCAGGCTCCCAGTCAAGGAGCAGATCCAGTCATTAAAGCTTCAGTCCTGAGACACCAAGGCCTACAGCAGGGCTGGGGCTGATTCTGGCCTGTGAGAAAGAAGGGAGGAGGGTGGTAGAGGCTGCAGGACCCTTGGGTTGTGGGTGGAGGAGAACACATGACCCAAGGTGAGCACCCAGGAAAACTGAGGTAGGATTTCTTCAGAGAGTTGAAGTAACATGTTTCTTGTCTAAAGGTTGAAGATGCTCCCAAGAAGCTTCTGGAAATGTGATTCAGTTAAATAACTGTCCTTACTGGTCTTCTGCCAGTCTACTACCTGCTCTTCCTCCATAGAGCAGATGAAGATTGAAGTACAAACCCACAGGCCTCCAGCATGTCAGACTTTCTCATGTGGCCTAGAGCTCCTCTGCTTATTCAGATCTAGTGAGATTGAGAAGAACGTTGTGAATGTCCCTTCTAGGCACACCACGAGCCATAATCAACTTCTGCAAGAGTCGGACTGTTCTGATTGCTGCTTTCACTTTCCCATCCATTATAGCAGCCACACATACCTTTCCTTTGCCACCCACTGGCCCCTGCTACCCCAGGATCTGATGACCCCCATGAAGATATTGTGACTTCAGCTTCAACTTTGAGCCCCTTATTCTGTTTTGTGATAGTCCAGTTCTGCACTCTTTGTTAATACATTAGGCCAAGTCCTTTGCTAACCTATGGAATTGTACACTTAGCCTCTGGCTGCTGGAACAGGAAATCTCAACAAGGTGTTTCCATCCTGGTCCTGGGTAATCAAATACATCTCTACACTTTGTGTAGACCTTTGTATAGACTGGATCTGGAATGTCCCCCAAAGATCTGTGTGATCTATGTGTTGACTCTGGTGCTATTGAGAGGTGAGGAAAACTTTAGGAGGTGAGGAGTTGGGTCACTCTTTGAAGGGCTCTTTATGTCCTAGGCCCCTTCCTCCCTCTCTCCCTCTCTTTTAAAAAAGAATAAATTACTTATTATTGCTACCACAATGTGAGCGATATCTTCTGCCACTGCTCCTACTGCCAGGATATTCTGCCTTATCTCAGGCCAAAAAGCAATGCGGTCAGCCAAACTTGGACTAAAACTTCTGAAACAGTGAGCCGAAAACTAATATTTCCTCCTCTAGGTGGCTGTTTTGATGTTTTGTCACAATGATGAAAAGCTAAATAACACTGCCTTGAAGATGGTGCAATATGTCTCTAAAATACCATGGCAGCCTTCACTATTAACTTCAGGGACTCTGTCTGTTTTGTTATATTTAAATAAACATCTCTGTTTTAAAAAAATCTTATTGGTTTGGAGTTTTTTATGCAATCAATCAATGTGGTGGTTAATTTTATGTGACAACCCACTGCCTCAGGGATACCCAGATAGCTGGTAAAAAACAAAACAAAAACAAAAAACATTATTTCTGGGTGTTTCTCTGAAGGTGTATTTGGCAAAGATTTGCTCTGAAAGCAGTAGCCTGAGAAAACAAATCTCCTTCCCTAGTGTGAGCAGGGATCATCTAATCCTTTCGGGGCCCCCAGCAAAACCCAAAGCAAGATTCTTTGTGAGATTCCTCTGTGTGATCTGAGGTGTCCATCTTCCCTGGTTCTGGGATATGACAAGCCATCACTGATTCTCAGACTTCATGACTCAGATCAGGACTTACACCATCAGCCCTCAGTCCCATGTCTTTGGTTCAATCTGAATTATACCCCTTACTTTCCTGATTCCCCAGCCTGCACACAAATACTGGAATTTCTTGGTTCCATAATCCATAGACCAATTTCTACAGTAAGTCTCTTGGTTCTGTTTCCCTGGAGAACCCTGACCAATAAAACTTACTAGAGAATGAGTGACATTTCGTGCTTCCTTCATGTTGTAGAGTAAATAAAACCAGTGACTCTGCTACATTGGTTTCTGTAAGTAGAATTTAAAGATCATTCCTAAACTAATGGGTAGTCTAGATGGCGATCTCAAACATTTTGTTGGCTCAAAACAAATGTGCTTAAGGGATGAAATTTTTCCTGGTTTTACCCCAGCACACTTGATAGTGATTTTGTTGTTGTTACTGTTATTCCTCAACCTGACCTCACCTTCAGTTAGAAGTAAGTTGTATGCATGTGGGAATGGGTGTACATAGTGGAGAGAAAATTAAAAAACGATTCTATTTATTCTCTTCCTTCCCCCAGTAGAAATAAATCAAATCTTTACATTCAAACAGCAGAACACTCTCTACTTTGAAAAGTTGTTACTTATTCAAGGATAGGATTAATATCCAAAATATATGAAGAATATGTACCAAAAGTTACTTCTTTCAACATATGGACATATGCTATAAGCAATTCACAGCATATAATCCTGCATCAAGATTCTACAATATGACATAATCAGGAGCAAGATTAAAAGCACAATGGGCAATTATTACAACCATCAAATTGACAACTTCTTGAATATAACTGTACCAAGTGGGGAATAGGAAAAAGATCAACATAGCTATCATACTTGTTGATCAGAGCACAAATTGAATCAATCCTTTGATATGTAACTGGATAATATTCTGTATGGTAGGGTTGGGGTTGTGGCTCAACGGTAGAGTGCTCGCCTAGCACATGCGAGGCCCTGGGTTCGATCCTCAACATCACATAGAAATAAATAAAACAAAGGTTAAATAAAAGATTTTAAAAAATAACCTGTATGGTTAACAATGTGCTCATGCAACTTCACAACAATCCCAGCATTATTTCTGGGCTTCCAAATGTGTTCATATAGCATTTAGATATATAGTTGTTTATTGCAGTGTGGTATGTAGCCAGAAAGCGTTCTAGTTATTTCATTTTTCCTAGGATGTGCTTACCAAGATAGTAAGCCTTACATCTCTGTAGAGGATATTGGGACTAAGATATAATTTTGCACTTGTGTTCCAAGTTTTTACTCATTGCAACACACCTCCTCTTCATTCAGATCATTCTGGGTTTCTAATCTGGCTTAGGTCTTGGAATTGATTGAGGTAATATAGCTATTTTTATTATTCCAGTTAGACCTTCCCCCTTGGTCTTAAACTCTTCTGTTTACTCAGATCCAATGAGGATTTAGCAAACTTCTCGTATCTTTCACTTCCAGGAACACCATGAACTCACACCCTCGGGCTGCAGGAGTCAGACTATTCTGTTTGCTGTTTTGAATCTCCTGCCCATTACAGTAGCCCCCTTTGCTCTGCAGCTTGAGTGCCATCAAATGATTCCCATTGACTTTTGGTGTCCCAATTCAGGGACTGCAGTTCCCTCTCTGAGGTCTGGTCTCAGGATTAGAGTAATGGCAGAGCCCTTCAAGGATTCCAGAGTTTCCCTTGTAAATTGTGTTGCACAGTAGTGGTGACAGTGGTAAGAAGCAGTAGGGACTCTCAGGGTGCCACTGCCGCCATTGTCACCCAGAGGTCCATTGCCAAGTTGCCTGCAGGGTTGGTTGCACACAGCCATTTCCATCTTGGGACAGTGGCCAGAGCCTTGTGGGCCAGGGTGCTTGCAGGTTTGCTGCTACCACCATCTCACAGTGCAGCCAGTTCTGCCTGAGAAAACCACACAGGGCCTGAGGTCCAGTGTCAGGGTGCCTAGGTTTTGGCTGCCCTATGGTTCTCCTGCTGGGAGTGCTGGTGGCCACCATTTTGCCGCTTCTTTGCAAGGTCATTCATTTGTGCACATGTCTCATGTTCTCTCTGCAAGGTGGAATGGCATTGAAATCCTGGGACTGCAACATAGCTGAGCCTGGGGTATCTTACATCCTTATCTGTCAGACAGTGAGTGGATCTGCCTGAGTTGTTCATGGCCAGGCAATCCTGTGAACATTCAGACTGGGGGCATTTTGCCTGGGGGAAGCATTAATTGTAGATGCTAGAGAGTGCCGGGCTCCCCAGCTCCACTAGTTCTGAAATATGCCTGCATTTAGATTGGCTCCCCACAATGACCCTTAACCCTTGTTATACTCTCAGCATGAATAATCCACCCCACAACATACCTTGGCTCTCTGCCATCTGACACTGCCCCACAGCTGAGGAAAACCAGCAATACATGTGCCTTTCTAAGAAAGCCCCTGACATTTCCTCCTTCTGCTTTTAGACTTTGTTCCAGATTCTCCCCGATCTATCTCCTGGGGTGGGGTTTTTCTGGGTGCTGAAGAGAGTTGCCCCTGGTGAGTTCAGCAGATGTGGCACCTTAGTGATCTTCCAGAAGGACAAGGCATATTCTCTCCAAGAGGAATAGATCTCAATCCCTGGAGCGAGCAGGAACTTTTCTAGACTCATTCCTTCCTTAAGCGCTCTGCCTCAGCATTAAAGATAAGGGCTGCTCCCCAGACACGCCACCTATGAATCTTTAGAGCTCTTTTCCCCCCAACAGATTATCACTGTTAGTGTTAATAATTCCTCTTCTTAAACATTGATTGCCTCTACATCCTCATATTAAACATTGCCATTCCTCTGTGGTTTGAGTCTCCTGATTGGACCTAGGCTGACACCACTGCTCTCCAAACCATTATTCTGTGTTATTTTGGCACAGCCAGTGAGTAATTCACCACACAGATACCCCTTCCCAATGATACTTCTCAGTCTTCCCTGAAACTATCAGTAAGGCAAGCATAGTTGTGCACACCAGTAAGCTCAGTGATTTGGGAGGGTGAGGTAGGAGGATCACAAGTTCAAGACCAGCCTCAGCAACTTAGTGAGGCCCTAAGGAAGTTAGCATGACCCTGTCTAAAAAATAAATACATATTTTTATAGGACTAGCAGTGTAGCTCAGTGGTAAAGTGCCCATGGGTTCAGTTCCCAGTATCAAAAAAAAATTAATAAAAAGTAAATTAATTGGGGTTGTAGCTCAGTGGTAGAGCACTTGCCTAGCATGTTGAAGGCAATTGGTTTGGTACTTAGCACCACATAAAAATAAATAAAATAAAGTTATTATGTACATATACAACTAAAAAATCATATTAAAAAAAAAGTAAAATCATGGACTGGGGCTGTAGCTTGGTGGCAAAGAGCTTGCCTAGCATGTGCAAAGCCCTGTGTTTGATATTTAGAATCACATAAAAATAAAATAAAATAATTTTTAAAAGTAAAACCATGTAATTAGATATTACCCAATATTTCTCATAAGACTAGTACACCGCACATGAGATCACCTGAACAGATAAATGTTATTGCCCCTGTACACCTAACCCAGGATGCTGATTCAGGAACCTGAGGAGCACTCTTCTTTTCCCTTGGAGTTCTCACAATTGGTCTTGAAAAACTGATTCAAGATTCTTTGTTTTTTAAAAAAAAAAAAACAATTTCTGGGTCTCATATCAAGAAGACTCAGTTAGTCTTCTCTAAACCAGTACTTTTCAATTACAGATGATTTTGTCCATCAGTGGAACATTTGGCACTTTCTGAAGGCAAATTTGTCTATTACAACTGGTGGAGGATGTTATTCATCCAGTGAACCAGGTTTGCAGCTCCAACCAATCTACATAGCACAGGGCAACTGCCCATGGCTAAGAGCTATCTAGCCAAAATGACAGTCATGATCAGACTAAGAAGCTTCACAGAATTTGGTCTGGCCAGTGCCCATTTCCATTTGGTGAACACATTTCCATTACCCACACACATAACACAATTTCAACAGTGGTCTGTCTTATTGTGTACATGTTCATCATAGCCCAGGAATGGAACTTCTTTGCACAGAAAATGGGAACTCACTAAGAACAGAGAGGACTCTCATGATCCTGGCTCTCCCCCCTGACCCAGCACTCCCATTTTCCTCTTACCAGGTCTATTCTCTTCCTCTAATTCCAAGATTTACTCCTCTTGGCTGAAAACCATTATTCTTATCCAAAGTAAAAGCATTCAGTGCTTGAAGCTGTCATACGTGAATGGCAATGCAAAGTGACCCAGTCAGAAGCAATGGATGATCAGAAAAAAATGGAAAGGATCAGACACTAAATGGATGGTTTATAACCAATTATTG